GTGTGTGTGTGTGTGTGTGTGTGTGTGTGTGTGTGTGTGTGTGCGCGCGTGCGTGCGCGCGCGCGCGCGTGTGTGTGTGTGTGGGGGGGGTAATGGTATGTATTTATATAATTACAGCTATATTACTTTCATTCAAACTTATTTATTATTTTGTCTCTATGAACTACATATGAATTGTTTGCCTCTCAGCCTGTTTTGGTATAATTCAGGAAAGTGAAATAGTCAAATAGTTAAGTTGATTTTCCCATCAACAACTTTAATCTTTGTGATATTTGTGTTGTTTACTGCAAAAAACATTTTTATTTTTATCTCATCAGCTATTTCATATAAGATAAGAAATTACTTGTTCTTCAGGGTGATGTCAATAAGAGATCATGTGAATGTATAAAAAAAGATAGAAAATGATAATACAATAAAATACATATAATATGTTTATGACAATAAAGTTCAAATGACACCTTGTTTATGGACAGCATGTAATCAGGACACTTACCACTTGTGTTTGATCAGTCCTTGTCTGAATTCTTCAAACTGAGGAAATGAATTTGTTAAAAGGAGAAGGCTTGAAATATTCACAACAAATCTGTAAAAAGACAAAAATGGATTAATTAATTGATCTGACAATGTTGTTTGTGTACACTGAGCATAATGGTTTCTTCTATTCCTCAGTGCCACAGAGCTTCATTTTTAAAACACATCTGTCTATAGGTACACTCACAGACTTGTTCTATAATGCAGTGAGCACGGACACTTCTGACTCAGTCTCGCATTCATTGTCTTGCTGCCATAAATACTTATAAGCGGAGTAAATCAGTATCAATCTTTGCCTGAAAACCAATGAATTAACATTTAATAACATTTGCTGAAAACTCAGCAGTTGTAGGAAATTATTTCTAACACCTTTGTTTTTAAAGAGTAATGTCTCAGGTGGGCGGGAGGTGACATGTTTGTGAAAGGAAATCCAGCCACAGTCACTCAGGAAGGAGAACGGCAGGGAAATGTCTGATACTTCAGTTGGCCTGTAGGAGGAGCTTTGACAATTAAAGTGGAGGAAGCCCTGGCATGATTTTTCACTGTGACAGTTGCGGACCCTCTGTCTGCAGAGCTTCAGACCTACTCACACAGAACATATGGAGAAACAGATCCTTCATCTGCACAGCTTTGGTGTTGACACGTATTTTGTTAAATTCATGTTTTTGTTTTGAAGAACCCCAGTAATAAGTTAAGCATGCTCTGTTGTTGTTGTCTGATCATTTTGACAAACAGCCTTCTTTGAGTCATACCCATCAACACTTTGGGACGGGGGGGGGGGGGGGGGGGGGGGTGGAGGGGCTGGTGATGGTGGTGGCGATGGAGGGGTTTGCTATGATTCACTGAAAGCCACTCCATGAAAGCAGTCACTGCAGCCCACTCCAGCTACTCCAAACCATAATTCCCATAAACACTAAACTGAAACTTTATTGAGTGCAAAACCACTGGCTCCATCCAAGATTTTAGGAACTACCATTGAGGGAGTTCACTTTTCAAAGTGCTGTGGGAGATGTACGATCACTTGCTCCCTTTTTTTTTGTTTTGTTTCGTGCACAGCCCTCGTCCACTCTCTCCTTGTGCAGTGTGAGATCCATGAGAAACACTTTCCCATGCTAAGATGTGTACCCTAATGGCCACAGTCTTTCCTAATGGATGCCTTCAGCTATAGTTCTCAATGAGAGAAAACAACAGGAGAGGTTGTGGCGTAAAACCGAAACAGATGCCGCTAATAAAAATCCTGTCGGTCCAGTTAGCCTGGTTATTGACTGTCCCGAGTCCAGATAATGAAAGGACTTTGTTGACATGTCACCCTCTTTGTTTTTGCTGTTGCAACTAAAATGAGACAGACACTAAATCGAGAGACTTTTATTGTTTTTCCATCCCTTGTTTTTTCTCTATTGATCCTGCGAGCAATCAGTTTGCTCCTCAAAAATCCAAGTCACTTCTCCCTCATTTATCAGGCCCAAGGTTGCTAACTCTGAGTGAGTCTCCTGCAGTTCATAATGTATGTAGACACCTCTGTGGCAGCACATGCTCGCTTTCTTCCGTGGGGCGCCGTG